TTCCAAGCCACGGCCCTCGCTGAACCCAGAGCAGGTGTAAACATCTTCCCCGGCCTGGACAATCTTCTTGATCGACGACGCACCTCAACTTTGATTGCCTGCGTGAGATCAAGCTTGATCGGTTTAAGCACCTCCAGGTGGACCTGCCAACCCTTCCCAAGAGACCGAAGCGTTAGGGTCTCTGGGCCACTGGTCTTCACCCTGGCCGTGAGGGGGGTCTTGCCCAACAAGATCTGACACTGCGTCTTGGTCTGGCCCCGTTCGAGAAGGAACCGCGTAGATTTGCCACCAGCAAGATGGAAAGGACGACGATCAGGAATCACCTCTACCCCTGAGAAAATCCTCTTGCCCTTGAAATTGGCATTGGCGCTACCATCGAACATCATCATGGACGTGCCCAGCCCCCAAGCCCCGTTGTTGTGAGCGTGGTTGGACTCGTCCCTGAAGACGAGAGTGACCTTCGCGTTCAAGTCCTGACGCTCCGCTCTGAGGCAGGACGCCTCCCAATCGACATCGTCAGACTCTTTACGGCCCACATGCTGCTGCACCGAACCCAAGTATGTTCTGACTTCCTCACCGAGCAAGCAAGACTTGTCTGTAGCCCCCCCCCCGAAAAGCATCCAACTCACTGTGCCCCTTTGATGTCCACGAGGCTGACCCTGGAGGAAACCCCACCAGACGTTGTAGCATCAGCCCCGCCGCTGCCCACGGACGCCGCCGCCAACGTGTCCGCCTCAGGACTCGAAAGGGCCTCCCGCGAGCTCTCTCGGGGCCTCTGACGGCCTCGGCCCCGGAAGCGGACACGCCTCTGCCCTGGCGTCCGCGGACAGCGTCCTCGCCTCACGCACCTCAGGCTGGACGCTTCTGACCGCTCGATGGGTGTTGGAGCACAGCTTGAAGAGGTCCACTCTCGATGGTTCGCCAACGTCGACATCGTCACCCAGGTCGTCGGGCGCAGCATGAGACAGCAGGCACACCCGCAGCCGCCGCGTCTCTCTTTCGGCCATGGGGCAGAGAAAGGCGTGTATCCAGGAGGGTTGCAGTAAACTGGCCCCGAACACGCCTAAGCCCCAATGCCTTGAGCCGTATGGTGAGAATGCATACGATGATGATGATGATGATGATGATGATGATGATGATGATGATGATGATGATGATGATGATGATGATGATGATGATGATGATGATGATGATGATGATGATGATGATGATGATGATGATGATGATGATGATGACGATGACGATGATGACGATGATGACGATGATGACGATGATGATGATGATGATGATGACCACGACGATGACGATGACGATTATGATGATGGTGGTGATGGATTTGATGATCGTGGTGATGATACTGTTGAGGAAATGATGATGATGCTGGTGCTGGTCATGGTGATGATAATGTTGCTCATGATGGTGATGACGACGGTGGTGATGAGGATGCTGATGTTGATGATGTTGATGACGATGATGTTGATGACGATGAGGATGATCATGATGATGATTATGGTGATGATGATGATAAGACTGATGATGATAATGATTATGGTGGTGCTGATGATGATGATGCGGGTGGTGCTGATGCTGCTGGTGCGGATGCAGACGATGATGCTCATGCGGATGCGGACGCTGCTGCTTATGACGATGATGATGCTGATGATGAGGGTAGTGATGATACTGATGATGATGCTGATGATGATGACGACGCTGATGATGATGATGATGATGATGATGCTGATGATGAGGATGATGATGGATGGTGCTGATGATGAGGATGCTGCTGCTGATGCGGGTGATGCTGATGCTGATGCTGATGATGATGATGGTGGTGGTGGTAATGATGATGTTGTTGATGATGATGATGATGATGATGATGACGATGACGATGATGATGCTGATGATGATTATGATGGTGCTGATGATGATGCGGATGCTGCTGCTGATGATGGTGGTGGTGGTAACGCTAATGACGATGACGATGATGATGCTGATGATGATGATGACGATGATGAGGAGGATGAGGATGAGGATGAGGAGGGGGAGGACGAGGACGACGAGGCGGGAGGAGGCGGGAGGAGTGGAGGAGAGAAGCGCGAACGCGGGGCGCTGCTGATTCAAAGCGTGGACCCAACAGCACAGGATCTCGGGGCAAAACAGTCGGCCGCGTGCCGCTTGGATTTCCAAGTCGGGAGGAAGATGGGGGTACACCGCAACTCTCCACTGAGTCCCAAGAACAATTCACTGGGAGGCGCCCGTGTACACCGTGTATACCTTTCTGTGGCGGGGGACCAGCGCGGCGACGAGCGGGCGGACCGCGGCTCCGCAGCCTGCTGCCATGGCTCCCCGGAGGCTGCGGGCAGAGGGAGAACGAAAGCCGCGCAAACGTGCGCGTTCGGAGGTCCGCACGGATTTCCTGGGTCGGAGCTGGAGCTCCTCTGACGGCGACTCCAGCGCCACCCCTGGCGGCACACTGCGCGGCAGGCAGGGGGGAAGCCGCGCGGACCTCCGACAGCGTAGCGCCTGTGCAGATCTTGCTCTTCTCCCGCGGGGGCTGTGAAGCTGAGCCCGGCACGGACGGAGCTGTCGCCCGCGCTCGGTCACCAATCGTACAGTAGTGGGGGTGTGCACCTCTGCTCGAGGCGCAAATCCTTCTGGGCGGAGAGAGGAGGCACGGTGGCCGCCCGTGCGAGGCGGGGCTTTGCTCCATGACCACCGCCCAGGGGATCGATCTTCGGGGGCCTCGGCAGGAGGTTGAATCTCCCCCCAGGGCCCGGTTTTGCCGTTATATAACTCTCTCTCTCTCTCTCTTTTTTTTCTCTCTCTTTCTCTCTCTCTCTCTCTTTTTTCTCTCTTTTTTTTTTTCTCTCTCTCTCTCTCTCTCTCTCTCTCTCTCTCTATATATATATATATATATATATCGCTCGTACTCAGGGGGCGCTCACGAGGTCCTCCAGAGTCGGGCCTACGCGGGCGCACGAGAGAGATCGGCGAGAGCCATAGCTGCTCGACGAATTCCGTACAGATGGCCGTTCCACTCCTCCTCAGTGGGCGGGCACGCTCTCTTTCTCTCTTTCTCTCTTATTCTCTCTCTATATATATACATATATATATATATATATGTCTACATACATATATACATATACATATATATACACATCTCTATATATACATACATATGTATATAAGTATAAATAAATAAAGATATATCCGCACCCTGCCGAGGTCCCCGAAGATCGATCCCCCAGACGGTGGTTCTTCAGAAACCCCTGCCTCGGAGCTCAGGAGCACAAGCGGCCGGGGCAGGAAGCTGCCAGCAGCAGGGGCAGGGGCCAGGAGGAGGACGGCCGGGAGCACGAGCAGGAGGAGCGTAGAGGGGCCGCGGGGGGTGCGGCAGGAGCGCCCCCTCCCTCCTCCTCCTCCTCCTCCTCCTCCTCCTGCTCCTCCTCCTCCTCCGCCTCCTCCTCCTCCTCCTCCTCCTCCTCCTCCTCCTCCTCCTCCTCCTCCCTTCTCCTCCTCCATCCCCTTTCCTTATGAGTAGCTTCTCCCGGTCGCACCCCCCAGATGTGTCGGAGGGGCAGGCTCGGCGTTTCGCCTGCGACGACCCCACCTCATGACCCCAGAGCTTGGCATGATTTGTACCAGCTTCATGGATGGAGGCCGGGGGGTTCGAAATGTGGCTCGCACTCTAGCGCCGCACGTAGTCGTCGTCAATTTACGCGGCAGTCTTACGGATGGAGGGCTGCTCCTTTCAAGATAGAGCTCTCGCTTTATCGCAACGCACATTCGTTGAAACAAATAAGACTCTCTCAAGGGTTCGCACGGTTGAAGTCACAGTAACGGTGTTCTGGCGAAGTTGAGGATTGTCAGGCCGCAACAGTCATGCTGACCCAAGGTGTTGGAGTCCTAGGACTTGTGTTCTGGCACGACTGAGGGCTGGCAGGACGCAACAGTCACATTGACCCGCGGCGTTGAAGTCACAGGAATAATGTTTTGGCACGATTGAGGGTTCTCAGACGGCTGTCTTCTATTTGGTTTCTTCCCGCACTGAAAGTAAATCCTTGTAGGGACCTATGGAGAGGAAACTTGGAGGAAGAATTACTTGCAACACCGTTGATCAGTCTCGGGTTTACACTGGTCCTCCTTCTCCTTCCCCTCCCTCCCCTCCTCCCTCTTTCTTACTTGTCACAATTGGGGCCCGCACAGGGCTGCCAGTGGGCCCTTCCGCCATGCGGGCATCCTCCTCCTTCCCCCCCCCACTCCTTCCCTCCTTTCCTCCGCCCCAGGCCGTGGCCGTGAAGGGGGTGGGGGGCAGTTTTTTATGAGTCCCCACAAACACAGAAATGATCGGGAACGTATGTTTCAGAGAAGGCCCCCCAGCCCTGCATAAATGAGAGGCCCACGTGCCAGATGAGATAGCTTGCCGCCGACCTGTCTGTCCTATACCCCCATCACGAGCTGACCCGCCACCAAGCACAATCCGATCTTCCCCCGATCCTCCTCCTCCTCGTCCTCCTCCTCCTCCTCCTCCTCCTCCTCCTCTCCTCGTCCTCGTCCTCGTCCTCCTCCTCCTCCTCCTCTCTCTTCCTCCTCCTCCTCCTCCTCCCCCTCCCCCTCCTCCTCCTCTTCTTCCTCCTCCTCTTCCTCCGCCTCCTCCACCTCCTCCTCCTCCTCCCGTCGTCCTCCTCCCCCTCATCCTCCCCCCATCCTCCTCCTCCTCCTCCTCCTCCTCCTCCTCCTCCTCCTCCTCCTCCTCCTCCTCCTCCTCTTCTTCTCCTCCCTCCTCCTCCTCCTCATCCTCCTCCTCCTCTTCCTCCTCCTCCTCCTCCTCCTTCTCCTCCTCCTCCTCCTCCTCCACCTTCTCCTCCTTGTTCTCCTCTCCTCCCCCTCCTCCTCCTCCTCCTCCTGCCCCTCCTCCTCCTCCTCCTCCTCCTCTTCCTCCTCCTCCTCCTCCTCCTCCTCCTGCTCCTACTTCTTCCCCCCCCTTCCCGGGCGCATGCCTCCAGACACTGGAAGTAGGTCTCCGGCGCCTTGAACGGGTGGAACGCCACCTGCAGGCGGGTGCTGCGTCCGGCGCGCCTGGACCCAGAGGCTCCCGAGAGGGGCCCCAGGCGGCATAGCGGCTCCCCAAGAGCGGCCTGGCCAGGGCTAGCAGCCCATGCGGGCCCTGGGGGGCCACGGGGGAGGAGGACGACAAGAGGAGGAGGAGGAGGAGGAGGAGGAGGAGGAGGAGGAGGAGGAGGAGGAGGAAGAGGAGGAGGAGGAGGACGAGGACGAGGAGAGGACGAGGAGGACGAGGACGAGGAGAGGAGGAGGAGGAGGCGGAGGAGGAGGAGGAGGAGCCCGCCCCCCAAAAGTTGCCCCAGGATGCCCCCCAAGATGCTCCGCAGACCCCGAGCGGCCCCCCAGAGGCCCCCAGGCCCCGAAGAGGCCCACGTCCCGGGAGCCCGCAGCATTCCCAGCTGGCGCCCCATGGGGGCTCTCCAGAGGCATGGATTGTGCGCTGCGGCCGGCCATCGATCCACACCTCGTCGGCTGCGCGTGCCTGTTGCGCGATGCCCGTCCTCACCTCCTGGGGCGAAGCGGCCGCGTGGTATCCCTCCTCGGCTCCTCGTGGGCAACACGCCAGGTGAGCACGGCGGAAGACACGCACGTGCAGAGCTGCACGCGCCCCTGCCAGCAACTCCAGGCACGGGGGCGGGATGGGCCGAGTACCACTCGATATTCTCGACGCTTGCAGACTTCGGAGAGGGTGGAAGCGGGAAAGCCAAAGTTTCCGTTCCGCATTGGGCCCCGAATCTGACCGAAACCAGCGCGTCCCCCCGATGCGCCCAACCCGCACAGACCGAAGATGATAGGACTCAGCATAAACCCCGCCGGCGCCAATATTCCCGAGACAGTGATTGCTCTCAGGGCATTCGTACTTCCGCTGTAAGGAACTGGCCTTTGTATGGCTTACTTCGGTGGATGCTTGGATCCCTATGGCTTGCCATGGATCCCTATGGCTTCCCACTCCACTGGCTATTTGGAGCACTTTCCGGTGGCTGCCTAGATCCCCACGACTTGGCTTTCTACGGACCCCCGTGGCCTGTGTCTTCCCCTGCTGCTGGCCCACATATACGGAGTCCCCGCACGCACACACACACACACACACGTGGCGTTCCACGTTCCTCGCACACTTGGGTTTCACACGCGTGGGGTCCCACGCTTATTGCACGAATGATCTGGTTGGGTCTGCGCGATGGAATCATGTGTGCTTGCTCGGAGGAAATCGCGCAACTACAATTCATAAGGGTTGCCCATGTGGCGGGCACGAGATACCGCAACCACGACTGATGATGTTTCCAGTTCGGCAGTGAACGGAGCTGTTGTAAACTCTCATACTCATAATAATGCTCGTGAAGCTGAGCGGTTCCTGGTGCTGCTGGTAGCGCTACTGCTTCAACTATGCGCAGATCAGGGCTGATAACGCTGTCCTTAAATGTAATCGAAGATAGCAGCACGAATTAGCATGTTCGGACTTTCCAATGAGTTCTCCATGCGTTTATCCAGACAGCAGGCAAGCGGCTGCCCACCCCCAAATGCACATGGGAAGAAGTCATCCTCTTTGCAAGACAGAAGGGCGCGCCGCCAAAATAACAGTTCTGGCCTCTACCCAGGGCTTGCCAGGAGACGCCGCATGGACAAGCGCGTCAGGGAGTGGGGCCGAGTAAGGGCCCCCAGAGGCCGAAAACAGCATCAGCAACAACAACAGTCAATTTAAGGCTGTTCGCTCTTATCTGCTCGCGGGCCGTTCAAGTCGTATATCGCAAACCCTCGATACCCGCCCTCTTCGTCTTCGATCGTACCCCCTTGGGAGTATATATCCGTGTTACCTGCAACGTGCATTTCGTGCAGCCCGTAAGCCAGGGGAAGAGAGGACGGATGGAAGGAATGGACAAGGGACAGGGAGGAGGGTGGAGCACAAGAAAGAGTATCAGAAGAGGGGCTAGGAGCAGAAAACACGTGGCAGAACCAGACGGGCAGATCGGGCGGGTAGACCTTAACGGGCGGCTCGGGAAGGCGGGCCCAGGCGGCCAGATCGAGCAGGCGGGTTGCTGAAGCGTGCGTACTGCACGAATCGTGAGGAGGTCTCGAGCGATAGCGGGACTCCCAAATAAATCGTCAGGACATCCACAGCGAGAGCGTGATTCCTGAGTGTCGAGGGCGCCGAGTCTGAATAAATGGTGAGGAAGTCCCGCGCGAGAGTGCGACTCCTGTATACCTTGTTTGTGAGGACGTCCCGCGCAAGAGCGCGATTTGCGAATACATTGTGAGGAGGTATCAGGCGGGAGCCGTTGTTGTTGTAGTTCAGGGACGGCCAACAACGCAGCTTGGGGACCCCTCGCTTTCCCCTGTGTAAAAAAGCGTGCGAGCCCCGGGATAATATTTACCTATACGACCACCTTGCGGGTGATAACGAGTTTGGGGGGGAGGGGACCAGCAATGGGCAACAGTGGTGATTGTTGTTCTGACGATGCCAGTTGAGATCGTTGCGTTGCCGCTCGCTATCGATCTTGCTATCGATCTCACTATCGATCTCGCTTTCGGTATTACTATTCATCTCACTATCGATTCCACTGTCGATCACGCTATCGATCCCACTCGATCGATTTCACTATCGATCTCACTATATATCTCACGATCGATCTCTCACTATAGATCTCACTATCGATCTCACTATCTGTCTCATCATCGATCTCACCATCGATCTCACTATCGATCTCACTGTCGATCTCACCACGGGACACCACTGGACAACGACGGGACACCGGTGGGACACCAGCGGGACACCAGCGGGACACCGGCGGGACACCGCGCGCCACGAGTTGCCGGGCGGAGATCCTTTTGGTCCGGCCGCGGCCCAGCCACGACGGGACACCGGCGGGACACCAGCGGGACACCAGCGGGACACCGGCGGGACACCAGCGGGACACCAGCGGGACACCAGCGGGACACCGCGCGCCACCGGTTGCCGGGCGGAGAACCTTTTGGTCCAGCCGCGGCCCAGCCACGACGGGACACCGGCGGGACACCAGCGCCCGCGGGACACCAGCGGGACACCGACGGGACACCGCGCGCCACCGGTTGCTGGGCGGAGAACCTTTTGGTCCAGCCGCGGCCCAGCCACAGGATGATTTCCGCTCCCCCGCCCACGCGGCTTCGCCTCGCCCGCACGCACGGCACGAACACGAAACCGAAATCGATTTCCCGGTAGGGGGGCTCTCCGTTCCACTTCGATCTCACCCCCCAACCTCCGATTCTTTAGAACTGAAATCATTTAGCCTGGCGAACGACCCAAACATATGCAGTTGTGGGTAACACAGTTGTGCGCGTCGTCTTCGGTGGGGCTCCCTGTGTGGCCACGAAACGTGCGAGGGGCGTGCCGAAACAAGGGTGAAGCCCACATGCGAGCTGCGCCTCTGGGGCCCAGGTGGAGCTCCCCATGGGGCCACGAAACGTGAGTGGTGTGCCGAAACGGGGGTGACGCCCGCATGCGACCTGCGCCACTGGGACATTAGGTGGAGCTTCCTGTAGGGCCACGAAACGTGTGAGGGGTGTGCCGAAACGGGGGTGACGCCGACATGCGAACTGTGCCACTGGGTCCTTCGGTGGAGCTCCCTGTAGGGCCACGATACGTGCGAGGGGTGTGCCGAAACTGGAGTGAAACCCACACGCGAACTGCGCCACTGTGGCCTTAGGTGGAGCTCTCCGTGGGGCCACGAAACGTGTGAGGGGTGTGCCGAAACGGGGGTGACGCCCACATGCGAACATCACCACTTGGGGCCTTAGGTGGAGCTCCATATGGGGCCACGAAGCGTGTGAGGGCTGTGCCGAAACGGGGTTGAAGCCCACATGCGAACTGTGCCACTGGGTCCTTAGGTGGAGCTCCCTGTGGGGCCACGATACGCGTGAGGGGTGTGCCGAAACGGGGGTGAAGCCCGCATGCGAACTGCGCCACTTGGGCCTTGGGTGGAGCTCCCCATGGGGCCAAGAAGCGTGTGAGGGGTGTGCCGAAACGGGGGTAACGCCCCTGTGGCGGCTTTGTTGAGCGGAGGGCGAACGCAGGAGTGAGAGGAGTGAGATGGGAGGGGGCAGCGGGAGGAGGAGGAGGAGGAGGAGGAGGAGGAGGAGGAGGAGGAGGAGGCGGGGCGCTGTCTCTTCAAAACGAAGACCCAACACCACAGGATGGGTTGGAGAAACCACGCCGTCGCGACTCTTTCGCGACGAGGGGAGGTGGGGGGACAAGCAGGGCTCGCCGACGGCTTCCGGCGGCGCAGTGGCGTCGGCGGCTGCTGAGGCGTCTCCCGTGGAGGTCAGCGGCGGACAGAACGGAGCGCTGAGAGGCGCGCATGCGCGCGCGCGCGGTACAGCAAGCAGCTGCTGACTCTCGAGGCCGCAGAAGACCTTCAGAGGCCTGCGAGAGCCTCCAGGGAGCCTCCGAAGGCCTCCGAGGAGTGCCCGAAGGGCCTCTGGAGGGCCTCGGACGTCCTCCGACGGCCTCGGGAGGGCCTCCGGAGGGCCTCCGGGGGCCTCCGCGGCACGCGCGCACGCGTCTTCTCCGACGCAGGCCAGGTCGCCTCGATCCAGTTGCTGCGAGAGGCCGCGCCCGCGCTGTCTGCGGGCGGCGTGCCTGCAAATTCCGACTGGCGCGCGCGCGCGCCCGGAAGGCCCGCGCGAGGGTCAAAGTCGGCTGCGGCGGGAGGGGCTCCACGTCCTCTCGCCACGACAAGACCACCGTAGGGGGCCCACATGCGAACCCTACCCCCACCCCTCACGATTTCGGAGGGGAAGGGTTCGCACGCGGCCCCCTACACCGAGGGAGGTTTCGGCCGCTCGCCGAGCATCATTTGACCGACCCCCATCCCTACGGGCGTGGCCTGGGCCCCACTGGCCGATCTACCCCCGCAGATGGGGATATCGGCTGTTTCCTTCGAGTCGAGGGGCATATGCCCACATGGGGTGCTGAGATGCTGGGGGTCTGGAGAGGGACGGGGCTCGGACACAAAAC